AACAAACTTGACTGAACCTTGAATTTAGACCAAGCTAAAAAATTAAATAAAAAATAACAAGGAAAATATCAAATAACTTACTTCTTCAAAAATTTTGCTTGACCATATGGTTGTTTTTGCCGTGAGTAAAACCGACTTTTTCTCTTTTCAAAAGAAAATGTTAATGATCCAACAAATAATAAAAATCTTTCAATTTCATTAACACTTACAACACAAAGAAAAGATTATTGAAAATAAAAATAACCATTTAATATGTGTAGTGTTTCAAAGTTTGTTTTTTTTAAAGAGACAACCATAAAATAACAACAAGTTAGAACGATTTATTGTGTATTTTGAAGTGGGGGAGAGTCGTAATGTGAGAGGTAAAATACGGTTATCTCACCCATTCAAACTACTCGTCCATTACCAAAAGGCAAAAATGCCGATTTTTTGAGAATCTCAACAGTGAAAAAGACTGAATAACAGTCTCAGAAAATCGGACAAGTTTGTTCTAATTTTTTGTTAAAATCCCGAAATTTTAATTGAAATTTATAACTGTATTGGTTTTGAGGGTTAAAAAGTCGGTACTGTTTTTTCTTTTTTTCAAATGGAAATTATAAATGAAAACAACAAAAAAACTTTAAAAAACGGGAATTTATTATAAAAGGGTTTCCACTAATAATTGGTAAAGTACCGACTTTTGGCATACAGTTTATATAATAAAAAAATAAAATTGTTAACGATTCTAACATTAGTAATGTGGATTATACAGAAGAAGGAATAAGTACAGATTAAGAACTATAACAATTAAATACATTATTTTCGGATAATATTGTGGTATATTCTCCAATTCCAGATAAATTAATTAAAGATGTAGAAAATCTTAGTAAAACATTTATTTTCTCAGATACTATAGATAACGAAGAGGAAGAACAAGAATCTAAATCTATTCCAAAAGAACTAAGAGATATTTCGAAAAATATTTTATCCACTATTACAGCTAATATTAAAATGGTATTTAACACTGTTTGTTTAAATATTAATAAAGCAGATATTAAACCATTATGTATAAAGAGATACAAAGATATGTTACACCAACCATCTACATTTATACAAATCCTTAAAATAGACTTAAGTTGTGCTAGTGTCCAAGATGTGTTTAATATGTTAACAGATAAAGACAAACTTAAATTCTTAAACGATAACAATGTATTTATACATGATATAGATTTTAAGCAAGATTTTAAAGGAGTATTTAATAAAGAAGATGTTATAGAACATTTGTTAAATGTTGGATTTAGAGAACAAGGAGAAGACACATCTCCCGATAATTATACAGCAACAATATTAAATAATAGTAATAATGTTTCTAAAAATTGTTTAACATTTATTAGAACAACAGAAAATGGAACTATTCGATATAAGTTTTATAATAAGTTTGTACAATCTATGGAATCTCCAAGTGTTAGAAATAAAATTGAATACTATATAAACGATTGGATTAATAATCCAGAACCAATATTAAATAAAGCTATTAATTCTTCTTTGGATACAAAATTATTAAGGTTGGAGATGACATTCTATAGATACAATACAGATAAAGAGTTAAATAGAGAATTTGTAGAAGAACAAATGGTATTCTTAAGAAAACAAATGGATCCTTCTCTTATTTATTATAATTCTATAGAAACGCAATTTAACTTATTATGTTAGCATATTCTTTATAATATTTGTATTTTAGATGTAGAAACCAAGTTAGCATTCGTTTTTATTTACCAAAATAGACTTACTGGAAAGGTTAATGGATTCTATATTAAAGATTGTAATAATGTTAAATTATCTAATGCTATTAGATATTATTGTAGTAATAAACCTATAATTGTAATATTAGTTAATATAGATAAAGATAATAAAGAAGTTAGTATACAACATAATAGTTATATTAGAGTAACAACAAAAATAGATATTTAGAAACATATGTTACATCTGGTTCCGATAAATTACATATAGCGATTTATAAAGACAAAAGTTGTAGTAAACAACCAAAAGAAGTTGTATTATTACTAAACAAGTCGTTTAATTGTAAAATATCCAAGAAAACCATATCTCAAATTAAAACGATAAAATATACTACGGTGTTTAAATAATTTAATATAGAATTATTAAATTATCCAGATGACAACTTAACTATAAGAACAATTAGTAAAGAAATTAAAGAACAAGAATTAATTAAAGCTTTTAATATTGTTAATAAAGATAAAATAGTAGAATTACAAGCTAAAAATAAAGAAATAGAAGAAGAGATAGAACAAAGTAAATATATGGAAATGTGTAGAACAAAATTATATGGTATTCTTAAGAACTGTAAAGCATTTTATAAAAAGTTTATAGAATTAGAAGATAACACAACATAATATGTTTATGGATTTAAAGAAATAAAATATAGATTTGGAAATACTCTTTTATTAGCTTGTTTTAAAGATCCCGTAATAACAGAAGAAACAGAATTATTCTTATATTGGTCTACTACTAATTTAACAACATATTTAAATAGAGGCAAGAATTATTATAAGAAATTAGATATATATGGAATTATAGCTAGAGGTTCTATAAGTGGTAACCCAATATTAACAACATGTAAAACTGGTACATTTACATCTGCTTCGAAAAATAAATGTGCAAAAGTAGAAATAGTAGAAGCTAAAACCAATAAAACAGAACAAATACAAGAAACACTAAATAGTTTAATATTAAAAGAATTACCTTATTTAACATTAAAAGATTCTAAAAAATTAGACGACGA